CGGCTGGCGCGCGCGTCGCGCGCAGGCGGCCCAGGAGACTCTACTGCTGCACTGGACATCCCGCCGCAGAGAAGCACGCCCTGGTCAGTCTCGCTTCGCGCCCCCTGCTCGTCGGGATACATCAGCAGCCCCCAGCACCTCGACGCCCCGTCGGGGGGGCGAGACAGGCCCCCGCCAAGCGGGCCAGGTCGCTCGAGAGCCCGAGGCAGCAGCTGCAGGGCCAAGGCCAGCCCCTGGCGGCTGGTCGCCCCCGCGAGGCCCACCTCCGCGACGAGGGCGGGCCCTGGCAGCGCAGCGCAGGTCCGCCGGTCCGAGGCAGCGATCGAGAGTCGCCCGGCGGCAGGGCCAGGCTCGCTGCACCCGCCCAGGAAGAGGAGGACGTCGAGGCAGCGGCCGACGACCGCGTCCGCGGTCGCCGCGGCGGCCAAGGACAGCTGGTTCACACGGCAGAAGGTCAGCAGCCTCGAACACTCGCGCTCGAAACTTCCCCGACTGACGTCCGAGATCATCTGGCGCTGGATAAGGGCGAAGCCCCTCTGCGCGGGGCCCTGCTTCGCCTCCGCGCACAGTGACGCGCGACATCGCCCTCTCGCCATCCTCGAAGCCTGACTCGGAGCAGCTCTGCGAGGCGGCTGACCTGCCGACCTCGCTGACAAGGCCCCCCGGCTCGCCACGGGCGTCGGAGGAGTCGCTTGCGCTGGTCTCTTGAACGTCTCGGTCACTCCCATCGCCGCCAATCCAGAAGCCGGCGTCAGCGGCCCCGCCGACCGCGGGGTCGCCCCGAGGCTCGTCCCCGAGGCGGAGGCGGCCGCCGCCGAGCGGCGCCTGGCAGCAGACAAGGGCATCGATCCCGGCCGCGAGTCCGTCGCCGCCGAGGTCTGGGCCACGGGCCCCGGTCGCCGCTGCGCATCTGGGATCGCCCCGAGGGTCGCGCGCTGAGCCGGAAGCCATGCGGGATGGACGATCAGAGGGGTCATGCTCTGATGTAGTCCACCTAGGAATGGAAATAAAACTGGTGAATACGCTGAGGGCGGCGATCTTTCGAAGAACATGATTGACGCGGATGGCTGACGACCTCCCCACTACCAATGGCCAACAAGTCCAAGATTATCGACGGGCATGAGACGACGGCGATCACGCGAACCGACGCGACGTAGACGATGCTTGAATCCGACAAGCGCAGCGCACCCTTCGAATGCCATGGTGTCATCTGGTCGCTTGAAACGCCCCATGGCGAGGAGCCGCCAGCCCTGCCCCATGGCAATCACATTGCTGGGAACTGGCTGGATGGACGAACTGCCGCGCCGAGGGCAACGCCGCCCGGCGGCAGCCGCGGGGGCGTCGAGCCTCATGGCCAGCTGACGAGCGGCGATCGCTTCGATCACGGCAAAGCGCCACTCCTCCGAGTACCCACTGGCGCTCTCCGCCAGCTCGGGAGAAACGGCGCGCTCAACGACGCTAAGGCCTCCGAAGTCGCCGTCGTCGCCAGCGCCCGAGGCGTCGGCGGCCATGACCCGCTGGTCGGCGGCCACCCTCGCGCCCGCGATACTGGCGACGACGAGAGAGCGGAAGGCGCAGCAGGACTGCAGGATGGAGAGGAGGCCCCTCCTGACCGGCACGGCCCAGGCGAAGTGGCCGCCGACGCGCAGCGGCTCGCCCCCGTCGCAAGTCCTCGGCTGGGATGTCCTGCATAGCCAGCCGCGCCCGCCAGAAGCGCCCCTCGACGCGCCCGCGCGCCCGGCGCCCCGCTCGTCGATCACCGGGCACGCGAACAGCTGGAGCGCGGCCGGCTCAGCGACGCCCTTGCACGTCCGCCATACCTCTCGAGGTCGGCAACGAGGTTGGCGCAGACGGCGGCGCAGCTGGCGCTGTCGGCACCGACGGCGGCCACGTTGCCCGCGCACACCGCGATCGCGGGCTCGCTCAAGGCCCCGGTTCGCTGCCTGTCACGCAGCAGGCGGCGCGCGCCGAACTCGCACCTCAGCGCGCTGGCCCGCGGGAGCTCCCGGCAGAAGGAAAGACCCCACGCCCATCCCACGGGCAAAACTTGCGGATGAGGAGAGACGAAGACGCTATCCACGTCAACATGCAACTCGGGTCGGAGCCTTTGCGGCGGGGGGAGGTGCACCTCAGGGGCGACGAGATAGTCGGACATACCAGGCGCCAGCTGAATTCGGTAGAAAGCATTGTCCACGCCGGCCTGTGCCACATATCTTGTCTCCCGAATCGGACCGAACGATGGCCCGCGCAGCTGCCGCGGGCAGCTCGCTGTGCCCGGCGGTTTCAAAAAAATCATTGACTGCGCGAGTGCCCAGAATGAGACCTATCTGATAGCGATTGGCCTCCCAGACAAAGAAAGCTCCGAGGGCGGCATCTGCGGGCGCGCCCAGCGCGACGAGCGCCGCGTCGATGAGGCCGCGGATGACCTGAGCGCAGACGCGTCCACATCGAAAACTCCGGTCAGCACGCGGCTCGATGGCGCCGCTCGGGACGCTTGTCCGCCGCAGGAGCCGCGCGCGCCAGCGCGCCCACTGATCCAGCTCCTTGCCCGCCGACGACACCGAAGGGTCGCACTCGGGGCCTGGGCTCGGCGAAGGCAAGGAAACGAGCTCCCCCTAGCACTGGGCTCGGGGCCCACCGCCGGCGTGGTCGCACCCCGGGGAGGCGCCGCGCAGCGCCTGGTGGGCTGCCGCGGAGGAGCAGGGTGGAGGCCCAGCAGCACGCACGACGCGACGAGCGCGCGGGAGAGCCCGCGAGCCTGCCCGAGAGGCAGGAAGTGACCCGCTTCGGGGGCCGCGCGGCCAGGACATGCCGTTCAGCGACTCGATCACGTCAGAGGCCCACTGCTGCTCGCGCCCACGTCGGCGAACTCGAGAGCGAACGCTGCGGCCCAGGCCCGCGGAGGCCAAGCCGTCGGCGGCTGCGGCGGGCGGCTGCAGGGGCAGCCAGTCCCGCAGGGCCGCCTGGGGCACAGTCATCATGACCCTGGCGCGTGGCCGCGGCCGAGAATCTTGTCGCCTTCGTCGCCCTTGTCTGAGATCTTCGTCTGAAGCTTGCGCAGCTCCTCGGCCTGCTGCTGCGCCTTCTTCTGCAGCCCGGCCTTGCTGTCGCCACCTGCGCCACCCAAACCAGAGCCTTGTCGCGCCAGCAACCTCTCCTCATTCACCTTCATCTTCTCCTTGGGCACCTGCGACTCCCGGTGGAACTCGCTGTCGACGTGCGCCTGCATGCAACTCGGGCGAGACCATCAGCTGCCCGCGTGTCTCGCCCACCCCCATGTAGAGGAAAGAGTCCTCCATCACCTCGTCAGACTGGCACCGGAGGATACGATCCCTGTGGCGCCTCTCAGCCATCTGGGCCCTCCTGGAGAGCAGCCCCACGCAAGCCAACTCGACGACGGCAAGCTGGTCGTAGCACAGGACGGCTTCCCAGATTCGCATCACTGGATCATGGCCCTGCACTCCTTCATCGTGCGGCTGCAGCCTGCACTCCTGAACCCACTTCGCATGCCTGGCCATGGGGTACTGGTCTTGCCGGGCAGGGAACTCGAAGCACCGGACTGTGGTCCGAGGGCCACGGACCGGCCAGCCAACCCAGGATGAAACTGAGAGCGCGCGAGCTGACTCACGAAAACGGCGATTTCGAACCCCGTCGGCCCCTGTCACCACTGAGAGCACGTGGGCATCCAACTCACCGTCCTCGCCTGGGTTGGCAGGGTCGGCCGCATGCAAGATGAGGAGCGAGGAGCCAACGCGAAATCGCCGAGGACCGCGTATACATCCACCGTGTGAGAGACCAGAGGCTGCTTGACGGGCGTGGTGTACGTGCCCCCGACAACGAACCAAGCACGCGGAGCCACCAACGGCAGCGTGCCCTTCCCGACCTCGACCTCACTCACACTCACTGCTGGTGCTGCCAGCGCCAGGGGGCCGACGTCGGCGGAGGCCTGCTTGCCGCGAATACGGCGGGCTGGCGCTGACACTGCTGCCGTCGCCATGCTGCCCGGGTTGTCGGCCCGGCCGCCCAAGAAGCCCAGCGCCTCGGCGAACTCGAGCGCTGCCGGCCCCCACTGGTCGCCGTACGCCGCACTCTGAGCCTTCCACTGTGTCCCACTCCTCGGCTCTCGAAGCGGCAGCCCCGAGTTGTCGATCAGCGCGAACTCGCTCAACGGCTGGCAACAGAGCAAGTGGGGGTACACGTCCAGGTCGGGCGTCAATGCGTACCAGACCTGGTTCGCCAGCACCTGATTCGCCGTCGGACGTGACCAAATCTCGATCTCGCACTCGTCGGCGCTGCATGGGGCCAGCAGCACGCGAACCTGCCACGACTCGCCGCGTCGCCACTGGAAGTAGGCCCACGGTCCACACCTCATGCTGCCGTCCAGTGAAGCACGCACACCAACAGCACGATCACGCACCGCCGACGATAGAGCCAAGGATGAAAGACAGCACGAGGGCACGCTCAATACCACAGGAAGTCTGGCTGGCAAGGCAGCAAGTGGTAGCTTGGTCGGCCACAGGGCCGAGGTACTCGGCGACTCCGAACAATCGTGGGCCCCACGTTGGCAGTGAGCTGCGACGCCAGAATGACTACCTACCAGACCACCCCAACCCCCAACCCAACCCGAAGACCCGAATTTCGGGTTGGGGGGGGTGGTAAGGGTTCCACATGTGTTTTCTCAATGTTCCCCGATCCCCCCCCCACTAGAAATGGATGGCAAATCGGGGCCTTCGGGTCGGGTTGGGGTGGGTTGGTGGGTGGTGACAGCAGAGAAGGGAGGCGACGCTGGGCATCCGGCCGCCCGAGAAGCCTGAGCATGACGGCAGCGGAAGTTGGCAGCGGCAGCCGCAGGAGAGCGCAGCCATAACGTTCACAGAACATGGGTTCGGGGGAAGAGGAGGAGGAGGAGGAGGAGGAGGAGGAGAAGGAGGAGGAGGAGGAGGAAGGCGAGGGCGAGGGCAAGGGGGGGAGAGGGGCAGGGGCAGGGGCATGGGGAGGGGGAGGAGGAGAAGGAGGAGGCGGGACGAGGAGGCGAGAAAGGAAGAGGACGATCGGAAGAGGAGAAAGAGGAGGAAGAGGCGTAGAAGGACAAACAGAGGCCTGGCCAAACCAACGCTCTGCCCCGAAACTGTCAGGGCGCACGAGCACGGCGCAGCGCACGCAGCAGCGACGGAGCGCCGTCGCGTCGCAGGCTCCACAGCATGTGAAGAAATGGGGGATCCGCCGGCCACCGCCTGGGGCCGCCAGGTCTGCAGGATGCTCGGAAGCGAACCGGCACGCCAAAATCAGCCGCGCTGGGCGATCCGGCATCGTCTCGCAGGGCCTGAAGGGCACGCCCACGAATGTGGACCTGCTGATGCCTGGCGAAGGTTTCAGCGGCCGACGCCGTCCATGAAGTCGCCGACGGCGTCGTCTGTGTCGAGTGCGACGGCGATGATTGCGACGAAAGCGTTTGGAGTCGCCAGCTTTCCCCACTGTTTCAAGAGGACGCCTTTTTCCCAAAGGGACACCCCGCCCCGTCGTCCTCAGAGAAGCTGGAACAGCTTGCCCAGACGAGTTTGCTGCCTGCCTGACGGCCAGAACAATCACTCTTTACAGTGGTTCACCCTTCCTCCCCCCCTGTCCCTCTCCCTTCCCCCTCCCTTCCCATTCCCCCTCCCTCCCTTCCCTTCCCCCTCCCTCCCCTTTCCCCTTCCCCTCCCTTCCCCTTTCCTGCCCTCCCTCTCCCAAGACTCCACCCTTGGGGCGCAGGAGAAACCCTGGACAATCCCCTGGGCGGGAAGACATGTATGATCAGATCGGGGGGGGGTCCACCCGATGTGCTCATGTGCACGTCAGCGCACCCGTGCCGCACGTGCGCACGCACACATCGCGCCACAGCGCACTGCACCTCCTCACACATCGCCCTGCTGGAGCATCGTCTAACCGGTGCCCGTCCCAAAACCGGCGCGGCCTGGGCGCTCCCCTGGCCGATTGAACCCCCGAGAGGAGCCGATAGCCCGTTCCCTTCGGGTTCCGTTGGGCATATCCCCAACTGGGGTGATGTGACATGGGGGGGATCGTGACGGGTCTGGGATGGGTATAGGGTCAAGTCGGGCGTGTCCCCCTACAGGCGGATGTTGGAGGAAAATTTAAAAATACTCAAGACTGCCCAAAAAAATAGTCCATCAACAAAAGAAGTCGTCCCCATACTATGTGTTGAATAGTTTCGAACCTTCCTCTTGTAAAGGGACAGGCCCCACTTGAGGATAGGGATCGGTGAAACGCTACTGATCTGTGCAGACGCGCGCCTGGCGTGCGTGCGGGTGCGCCCGCAGCTGCCCACCCGTCGCAGCGCGCCAGAGGCCCCTGCATCCCGTGCACGTGGCCGCGGGCGCGCCTGCACTGCACTGCAGCCAGGGGCCGAGGCGCCCCAAGGATTCTCGGGGCGGCCCAGACCGCCTCCAGACCACCCCTCACGAGGCCCTCAGGGCCCCCAGGGGCTCCACAATCGAGGGAAAGGCTGCGGGCACCCTGGGCCAGGGACACGGAGGAGGAGGAGGAGGAGGAGGAGGAGGAGGAGGAGGGGGGGAGGAGGAGGAGGAGGGGGAGGAAGGAGGGAGGAGGAGGAGGAGGAGGGGGGGGAGGAGAGGGAGGAGGAGGAGGAGGAGGAGGAGGAGTAGGAAGGAGGAGGAGGAGGAGGAGGAGGAGGAGGAGGAGGAGGAGGGGGAGGGGAGGAGGAGGAGGAGGAGGAGGAGGAGGAGGAGGAGGAGGAGGAGGAGGAAGGAGGGGGAGTGGGAGGAGGAGGAGGAGGAGGAGGAGAGGAGGAGGAGGAGAGGAAGGAGGAGGAGGAGGGAGGAGGAGGAGGAGGAGGAGGAGGAGGAGGAGGAGGAGGAGGGGAGGAGGAGGAGGAGTGGGAGGAGGAGGAGGAGGAGGAGGAGGAGGAGAAGGAGGAGGAGGAGGGGGAGGAGGAGGAGGAGGAGGAGGAGGAGGAGGAGGAGGAGGAGGAGGAGGAGGAGGGGGAGGGGGAGGGGCAGGGCCCATCTCCCTCACAGGTGCGGGGGAGGGGCGGCGAGCGGAAGAGCGGCGAGCGGGAGGGCGGGAGGACGGGAGGGCGGGGGAGCGGGAGGGCGGGGGGACGGGAGGGCGGGAGCACGGGAGCAGGAGCGGGAGGCCGGGAGAGCGGGAGGGGGAGGGCCCATCTCCCTCCCGCAGGCGGCCCGGCAGTCGAGCTGTCGCCAGGAGGGACGCAGGATGAGGCACGAGGCCCCTGCTTGGGCGCCACAAACCGCCCGGGGTGCACGATGAGGGGCCAGAGGAGCAACCACGGGATGACCTGGGGAGCAGCGAGCCCCTTCCAAGCCCGAAAGGGCCCTTGTTTCAGCGTCTTGGCTGGTACCCTCTGCCGCCGCGACGGCCCCTCCAGCATACACGGGCGTCTCCATAGGGCCGGGGGCCGCGGGGACTCGCCGCAGGCGCCTCTGGCACGACGGTGCAGTGGCTGGACGTCTCAGGGGAGAGAATTCACGCCACTTGGATATTACCAGATGGCGCGTTGCGCCGCTTGCCGGTCATCAACACCTCGATCTCCTCGAGAGTCTTGCCCTTGGTCTCTGGCACCGCGACTTTCACAAATCCGAAACTGACCACCGTGAGCACAAGGTATGCGTAGAACAGCCCCGCTGGCGTCAGCGCGCTCATGAGCGCGGTCTGACATAGCGTCATCGTGATGTTGCTCGAGAAGTTCACCACGGCGGCCGTGGAAAGCGCGGCGCCCCTGATGTTGAGGGGGAAGATCTCTGAGATCATCAGCCAGGAGATGGGTCCAAAGCCCACCTGGTATCCGCTGACATACAGCATCAACGCCGCCACCGTGCAGATTGCCCAGCCCTGTGGGAGACGCACGTCATCCTGCTTGCAATCCTCCATGCGCGAGACCGGCTCCGAGCACTCCTGGGGAAACCAAAAGGTACCCATTCCGCTGCTCCCTTGACCTCTCCAGGGGTGCCTTTTGACCCGGATTTCGAAGGGATTCCAGCCGTGGTGACGAGGGAAGGGTAGCGGTATCGGCATATTTTCCTGCCCTAAGTTCCCTGAACAAAAACGCGGTGCCGAGCACCAGCAGCGACACCGCCATCATGGCGATGCCAGACAGCAAAAGCACGCGCCGTCCGTACTGGTCGACCCGGAAAACAGTGAAGAGAGTGGCGACGAGCTTAACGAAGCCTACGCCGACCGAGGACAGGGCCGCCGATGACTTGAAGCCTGCGCCCTTGAAGATGTTGGTCGCGAAATACAGCACCGACGGTTGGCCGGTTACCTTGGCGGGAAAACTAGCGGCGCAGACATACGCTTTTGGAGGTCCGCATGGATTTCCTGGATCTGCGCTGGGCCCCCCTGACCTTTGGTGCGCGGATTTCGGGGGCCGCGGGCAGGCCAGATGCACACGCGCAGGCCAGTGCTGGGGCCACCCCTGTGCGCCCCCCACCAAAGGTCACTCCAGCGAAAGGTCACTCTTATGCACAGCCGACCGATCACCTGCTGCAGCAGCACGAGCCCCCAGCCGATCCGGAGGGGCTTCGGGTACCGGAACGCCTCGCAGCAGCCGGCCTGCCCCTGCCCCAGCGATGCGCAGGCGTCGTCGCGGACGCTCTGCAGCTCGCTCTCCACCTCCTCTGCCGGCGTGCCCCTGCGGAAGAACGTCAGTCCGACGCGCGCTTCCTCTCGGCGGCGCGCCTCCGAAGTTCGAGGTATTCTCAATTGTTCGTCTGTCCCCGAAAGTTTTCCAGCCTCGGGATGTGCTCCAGCAGCTGCGCCTCGCCGAGAGCGTTCTGGGGCTGCCCGCATCCTCCCGAACGGCCACGGGAGGGCCGACTGGCGGCCCAGAAGCCACCAGGCGTCCGAGAGGGGGGCAGGTCCTCTCAGAGGGCAGCGAGGCTCCCCGGAAGCCCTCCGGCCTTCTGCGAAGCCCCGTGCGGCTCCCCAGAGGGCTCGGAAAGCTCCGCAGAGAAGGCTGGAGGCCTTCGGCACCCTCCGAGAGGGCCCGCCCCCCTCTGCCCGACCCTCCGGGCGAGCCGCCCATCCTCCTCGAAGCGGCTGTCGCTGCCCAACAGCGCAGCGCTGCGCGCGCTCTGCAGCAGCAGCCAGCGGGGCGAGTTGGGCACGAGGACGATGCCGCACTCCATCACCAGCGCGAAGGCGCCGGCGAGCCCCACCATGAGGCGCCAGCCGTCCTGGGGGATCGCGGCGAACGCGGCGCCCGACGCGAAGCCCCCGAAGATGCCGAGGACGATGACGGCCTCCTCTGCGGGGCGGGGGCTTGTACACACACGCGCGCACACACATGCACACACACACACGCATTCACACACACACACACGCGCATTCACACACACACACACACATCCACACACACACACACGCACACACACACACGTACGCACACACACACGCACACACGCACGCACGCACGCACGCACGCACACAGCACAGCACAGCACAGCACAGCACAGCACAGCACAGCACAGCACAGCACCAGCACACATACATACATACATACATGCATGCATGCATGCATGCATACATACATACACACATGCATACCGACATACAGGCATGCAGACATACAGACATACATACATACAGACATACAGGCATACAGACATACAGACATACATACATACATGCATACGTACGTACGTACGACATACTCACATACATACATACATACATACATACATACATGCATACATACATACATACATACAGACAGACAGACAGACAGACAGACAGACAGACAGACAGACATACACACATACATACATACATACATACAGACAGACAGACAGACAGACAGACATACACACGCATACATACATACATGCATACATACATGCATGCATGCATGCATGCATACCTACCTACCTACCTACCTACCTACCTACATACATACATACATGCATGCATGCATACACATATATATATATATATACACATACATACATATATACATACATACATGCATGCATGCATACATACATACATACATACATACATGCATACATACATACATACATATATACATGCATACATACCTAGATGTCTACATACATGCATGCCCACATGCATAAGTACACACATTCATGCATGTATACATATATACATACATGCATACATACATACATGCATACATATATACATACATACAGACATACATACATGCATACATACATACATACATACATGCATAGATACATACATACATACATGCATGCATGCATGCATGCATGCATGCATGCATGAATACGTACGTACATACTTACATACGTACATACGAATATGCATGCATGCTGGTATGCATATGCATACACATAAGTAGATACATTTGAGTGTATATAGATGTGTTGTGTATATATATATACATTAGAACCATCGCGCGCGCTTTGCGCGCGCTCAAGTTCTAGCTAGGTTTGATAGGCTAACTCATGTAATCTCATGTTGGTCGCTTCTTGCGTCCAGGGACTCCCTTGGAGGCCCTGCGCAAGCCTCGGAATCGTATAGAAGGGGAAGTACGGAAACGCAGAAATCATACATTCCCTTTCGGTGTTCAAAGAGTTGGGGCGCTCACAGGCTTCCTGGGTTCTTTTTTGGGAGGTGAGGGGTGTCTGAATTGTGGTCTGTTGTGCAAGAATAGACCGGGGCCAAGCCTGAAAAAAAGGAATTGTGGGATTCACATATTTTTCCAATTCCTCGGCGCTGTTCGGCGCTGTTTTTGTTTGTGCCTCGCGGGTTTTGTTAGCCGGGCCCCTCAGGGGTGCGGGATCTTCCGGACCCCCTGGGGGTTCTGGAGGCCTCCTGGAGGCCTGGAGAGCCTTGGGAAGGGTGTCTCGGGCTGCGCGGGAGCGTGTTGGGCCGTTCTTTACGTTCTGGGGGCTCCTTGAGGTCATCTTGGGCTGTCCTTGGACGTCTTGGGGGCCCTCCAGGAAGCCGGGAGGCGCAGTACCGGCCAGATGTCACGGGATGTGTGGGATCTCCGAGTAGGAGTCCCACATTGAAACAAAAACAAAAAAAACTGGGAATTCCTTTTCTTCTTAAAATCCTCGATCTTCGAGGGTTGGAGGCGGGAAAACGTGAGAAGGCGAAAAACATTAGAAAAACCATTGGAAATAAACGATTTTACCCTCTTTGGGCTCTCTCGGGACGGCTCTCGCAGCTCTCTTGGGCTGTTCTTGGAGCCTCGTCGGGGTCTTTTTGGGGCCTCTCAGGGATCGGGGGTGTGTTGGGGGCCTCTGGGGGGTGCCGGAGGCCTGTGGGAGGTCTATGGAAGCCTCCTGCTCCCGCTCTTGGGCCCCGCTTGGGCCTGTTCTGGGGTAGTCTGGGGCTGTCCTGGGCGCCTCTTCGGCAGTCTTGGAGCCTGCTTGGCCCGTCTTGGGGCCGTCCTGAGGGTCTCTTGGGTGGTCTTGGGGCGGTCTTGGGCGGCTCTTCGGCGTTCTTGGAGCGTTGGAAGCTCGAAAACGCGCGAAGGCCATAAAGAGCAGAAAAATATTCAAAATCAACGATGTTGGCCTCTTTGGGCCGTCCCGTGACGCCTCTCGGACCTCTCTTGGGGTCTCTTGGAGGCCACCTGGGAGCCTCGAGAGCCGTCGGAAGGCTGACTTGGGCTGCTTGGGAGCGTCTTGGGCCATCCTTTCGCATTCTGGGGGCTCCTGGGAGGCGTCTTGGGCCCTCCTGGAGCGCTGTGGAGGCTCCCCGGAAAGGCTGGGGGAGCGGTACCGGGAGCGTTCCCAAGATGTGGCGGGGAGGTGTGGGACCCGGGGCCGCGGGGCGGGGCAGTATTTATTTATACTATACGTATACATACTTCTATATGTATATTTATATATATATATATGGAAGTATGTATACTAAAAAATATACAGGGTCCCACCCAAGAGTGATGCCCCTCTCGGGCCCCCTTCCCCAAGTGGCCCCAAGAAGGGCCTCTAGAGACGGCGATGCCATCGCCATCCGAAATACATGAATGCATACATGCATACGTACATACATACATACATGCATGCATGCGTGCGTGCGTGCGTGCGTGCATGCATGCATACATGCATACATTCATGCATACAGACATGCATGCATACATACATACACAGCTATTCACATGCATGAATACATGCATACATCCATAATGCCTAAATGCATGCACGCATACACGCGTATATGGATTTGCATGTGTAATTGTATATGCAAACGTAGATAACTATACACATACACGCATGCATACGTGCATACGTGCATACATACGTAAATTCACTCATACAAACATACATACATACATACATACATACATACATACATACATACATGCATGTATACATACATGATTGCATGCATGCATGCCTACAGAGATACATATATATATACACACATACACACATGAATACATACGTACGTACATACATGCTTGTATACATGCATGTATACATACATGCATGCGTGCGTGCATGCATACATACATACATGTTGTGCCAAGCGCCCTTCCTCTGGTTGCTGACTGACACACACGGCATACTTTGCCAAGCCAGCACGTTCGCCTGCACAACTGGAGTTCCGTGCCAGGGCAACAGCGTACATACAAACATACATACACATACATACACACATACATACATAAATACATACCTACGTACGTACGTACATACATACATGCATGCATGCATGCATACATGCACACACGTACGTACATACATACATACATACATACATGCATACATACATACATACATGCATACATATATACATACACACATACATACATACATACATACATACATACATACATGCATACATACATACATACATACATACATACATACGTACGTACGTACGTACGTACGTACGTACTTACGTACACACATACATACATACATACATACATACATACATGCAAGCATACATACATACATTAAAGTACATTGCCTTACCTTACCTTACCTTGCCTTACCTTACCTTACATGCATACGTACATGCTTACATTCATTCAAACATACATACATGCATGCACGCATACATACCTACATACATGTGTAGATGTCTTTGAATGTGTACATGTATATCCACTGCCGGAAAGGCCGATCTGCCTAGACCCCAGGAGGCGTGGGCCCCGAGGATGTCCACAGACCCCTCGCTTCCCAAGGCCCAGGGGGATCGGGCTCCCAGGCGGTGCATGTGCAGAAGCCCCTGCCCCGGATCCTTGGCCGACACGAGGGTGCCGCGCACCTCCGCGGGCGAGATCTCGGCGATGTACACTGGGGCGGCGTGCATCGCGAAGCCGATGCCGAGGCCGTAGACCAGCAGGCCGGCCTCTGCGGGAGGCACCCCGCGGGCCCAGAAGGAGCAGAAAAGGCGAGGCGAGGCGAGCGCGCGCTGTCGGTCCAGCGGGGCCGGCCCCAGGAGGCCAGCGCGGGGGGGCCGGGGCCCCCCAGAAGACGAGTCGGAGCCGGAGTCGGAGAGAGGGACGCTGGACCCAGACCCCCGACGCAATGATTTTTTCGTTACGTCGACCCCCAGAGGCCCCGACCCTTTCCCCATGACCGGCTTTGCATCCTGAGTCGTTTTTGTTGACGCTCCCGAGGCCCGGTGAGGGCCCCCAGAGGCCGAAAAGTAGGAAAAAGCTCCCGTCATGATTTTTTCATTACTCGAGGGGGTCTGGGGAGTCGGAAAGTTGGGAGCCGGAGTCGGAGAAAAGGGCGCCGGAGTCGGATCGGATCGGATCGGATGTCCGCTGTCCGCGAAAGGGCTCCCCCAGGCAGCCACAGCCGGGGGCTCCTCCTCCGCCGCCTCGCCGCGGCGAGGCACAGCACGGCGGGGGGGCCTCTGGCCGTGTCGGGCGCGCGCTCGCAGCTGCGCCGAGCCCTTCCGGCCTCGGGGGTGCTTTCCTGCAGCTGCGTCTCGCCGAGAGCGTTGGGGGGGGCGCCCCAGCCGTCCCTGACTACCTACCAGACCACCCCAACCCAACCCGAAGACCCCAATTTCGGGTTGGGGGGGGTACGGGTTCCATATGTGTTTTTTCAGTGTTCCCCTACCCCCCCCCCACTGGAAATGGAGGGCAAATTGAGGCCTTCGGGTTGGGTTGGGGTGGTTTGGTGGGTGGTGAGTCCCGATCGGCCGCTGGACACCCGAGTGATGGCCCGAAAGCCACACCTCCCCTCAGGTCCAGGCGACGGCGTTGCTCCACGCCGGGCGGTGTCGCCCCATTTCAAGCCCAGGGGCCCCAGGATCGCAGGATGCCGCAGAAACATGGGGTCTATGAAGGGGCCCCGGGACACACAGATAAGTAGACACGAATAACAGGATGACCCATATTTCCCCAAATTTTCTGGGTTTTCGTCTTCCCCCCACTTCCCATATCTTCCCACATGTTCGGGGGAATCGACGATTAATTGTGTCTGTGTTTCTTCCCCTCCTGAGTCTAGGGTGCTGGCCGTGAGCTCCCACGATTTTTTGCATTCTCTCGCGACGTCGCATCTCAGGGACGCTGTTCTGGGGCGCCGCACGGGCCGGTACCTCCTGCAGACAAGAGGAAGGAAAGGCGGCGGCAGCGGCAGCGTCACGCCTGCGACGTCGTCGTCGTCGTCGTCGTCGTGGTCGTCGCCGGGGAGGCTCTTGAAGTGCGCGCAGGGGCCCACGAGGCCCCGTGGGGCGCCAGGTCCTCCCCCTCCTGCTCCTCCTCCTCCTCCTCCTTCTCCTCCTCCTCCTCCTCCTCCTCCTCCTCCTCCTCCTCCTCCTCCTCCCTGCGAGGGGGAGGGGGAAGAGGAGGAGGAGGCGGAGGGCAGACGCGGTGATCCGAGCCGATTGAGGTCCGACCAACGTCAGAACAAGAGGAAGAGGAGGGCGGCAGAGAGGATCCCACACCGTCCCAGCTTTCTGCGAATCGAGTCCAGATCGATGAATGGATCGAACGGTCTCGGGGCCGTGCTCCTCCGCATCTGAGTGTGCAGTCTACCCAGTTATGATCTGTGTCTGTGATGTCGTCGGTCTCGTCGTACTCGTGAGCACGGCTGAAAACAATGGTGCCCGCCTGGACTGGGGCACAAAAGATCGCCAAGACGGATCCACAGAGCGTCCAGAGAGGGACCCGTTTTTTCAGAAGGCGAATCCAAAACACTGCGAACGCGCCTGCGCTGCCCAGTCGCCGGATGAAGAGGCGGAAGAGAAGGAGTGGGAGGAGGAGGACGAGGAGGAGGTGGAGGAGGACGAGGAGGGAAGGAGGGAGGTGGGAGAAGGGAGGAGAGAGGAGGGAATAGGAGGGAGGAGAGAGGGAGGAGGGAAGAGGGAGAAGGGACAAGAGAGGAGGGAGGAGGAAGGAGGGAGGAGGGAGGAGGGAGGCGGAGGTGGAGGTGGAGGTGGAGGTCGCCGTGGCCAGCGCTGCCATCGTTTCGCCGTTGGCACCCCTCCTCTCCCAGCCCCTGGGCCCTGCCTGTGAGCCTGCGGCCCCTCGACTGATCTCCCCTGCTCCTCTGTCCTCCTCCTCCTCCTCCTCCTCCTCGCCGCCGCCTCCTCCTCCTTCTCCTTCTCCTCCATCCCTCTTCCCGTATATATATGTGTGTTTATATGTATATATATGTATATATACACATATATACATACAAATACACATTATACACATACATGCACAAATATATATATATATATATATATATATATGTGTGTCCATAAATGTATACATACATACATACATACATACATACATACAGACAGACAGACAGACAGACAGACATGCATGCATGCATGCATGCATGCATGCATACAGACACACACACACATATGTACACATACATGCATGCATACATACATAAATACATACATACATACATGCATGCATGCATGCATGCATGCATACATACATACACACATACATACATACATACATACATACATGCATACATACACACATACACACATACATGCATGCATGCATGTATGCATGCATACATACATACATACACATACATACACACATACATACATACATGCATGCATACATACATATATGCATGGATGTATGCATACACAAATACATACATACCATACCATACCATACCATACCATACCATACAATGTCATGCCATGTCATGTCATGTCATGCCATGCCATACCATACCATACCATACCATACATTACATTACATTACATTACATTAAATTACATTACATTACATTACATTGCATTACAATACCATGCAATACATTACACTACCTTATACTACATTACGGTACAGTACTATACATTATATCATATTACATTAAATTAAACTACATTACAATACATTACATGACATCACAGCACATTACAATACATTACAGTACATCACATACATACATGCATACATACATACATATATATATAGAGAGATGTTCCTCCCTGTTCCTCCCTGCTCCTCCCTGCTCCTCCCCCCTGTTCTTCCTCCTCATCCCTCCTTCTCCTCCTCCTCCTCTTCCTCCTCCCTTTCCTCCTCCTTTTCCTCCTCCCTTTCCTCCTCCTCCCTTTCCTCCTCCTCCTCCTCCTTTATTCCTTTTCCGGATAAATAACTTCTCCCTGTCGCACCCAGAGGCCTGATTTTAGGGCGGTCCGGACGTTTCGCCTGAGACTTCCTGACCACTTATGACTCTGAAGCTTAAAATTGACAACAGCTTCACAGATGGAGGGCGGGCGGTTTCCAAAATATAGCTCTCGCCTTAGCGCGGCGCACATTCGTTTAACAAATGCAAGAGTTTCACGGATTGAGGACGCTTCCTTTTCAAAATGTCGCTCTCGCCTGAGCGCGGCGCACGTTCGTTTAAAACATGTGCAAGAGCTTCACGGATTGAGGGCGGCTCCTTTTCAAAATGTCGCTCTCGCCCTAGCACGCACATTCGTTATAAAAATTTGCAAGAATTTCACGGATTGAAGGCGTCTGGTTTTCAAAATGTCGCTCTCGCCTGAGCGCCGCGCACATTCGCTTTACAAAAGACAAGAGTTTCGCGGATTCCCATCATCAACGTACCAGACATGGTGTTTTGGAAGGATTCAGAATCACGCGGGTGCAACAGTTACGTTGACTCTCTGCGTCGATGTCCTAGGAATGGCGTTCAGGCACGATCAGGATAGTCAAGACGCAACAGTCAGGTTGATCCGCTGCGATTGAATCCCCGAAAACAATGTGTTCGCATGCTTCAGGGTCTTCAAACGGGTGTCTTCCAACGAGGCAGTTCCATCAATGGAAATGAACCGTTGTAGGGGCCTATGAAGAGGGAGCTTGGAGGGAGGATATACTCCAAAATCGTTGATGACTCTTGGGTTTGGTGGTCCTCCTCCTCCTCCTCCTGCTCTTCCTCCTCCTCCTTCTCTTCCTCCTCCTCCTCCTCCTCCTCCTCGTCCTCCCTGTTCCTCCCTGCTCCTCTCTGTTCCTCCCTGCTCCTCCTCCTCCTCCTTTTCCCCCTTTTCCTATTCCTCTTCCTCCTCCTCCTCCTCCTCCTCCTCCTCCTCCTCCTCCTACTCCCTCCTCCTCCTCCTCCTCCTCCTCCCTCCTCCTCCTCCTCCTCCTCCTCCTCCTCCACCACCAGCCCTCGTTCCCAAAACAGCGTGGGTTTCCACTTCGCTTCTGGGGGAGCTGGGCCTGGCTGGTGGTCTGGCGGCTCCGTGCTCGCCGTCGCCGCCCCATTGCCGCCTCGTCGCCGCCCATCGGCTGGGCCTGGCTGGCGGTCTGCCGGCCCGGTCCTCGCCGCCTCGGGGCCGCCGGGTCGCCACGCAGACTGCAAAGGAATTCGGATGCACCACCAGCGCCGTCGGCTTTAGCGAAGGATTGCAAAAAAAAAAAACGAAGGATTGCAACGAAGGATTGCAAAAAAAACAAGAATTACAAAAAAAAAAAACCTGGGTTTGTTTGCAATCCTTCGTTCGGTTTTTTTTTGCAATCCTGGGTTTTTTGCAATCCTTCGGGTTTTTTTACAATCCTTCGTACACCGTCCTGCGTTGCAAAATGCATACGATTCTGCCCCATGGCCCATCCTAAAGAGGACCCCGTACCATCCCAGCCGAGCCAGGTTCGACCTCCCCCCCGTCTGGAAAAAAAACATGCGCGCACACTCGCTTATCAAAACTCATCCGTTACCAAGAACCGCTTTGCAGAAATGAACGAAGTGCACACGCGCGCGTCGTCGCGCGCGCATGCCGAAATCATTCAAAAACCTTCGGTTCAAAAGAAATTCGAATTCGAGTGTCCAAAAAACATATCAAACACGGGATTTCGCAACACGGATTTTCAAAAAAGGCGTGCGCGCGCGCCCATGCGAATTCTTAAGAAATCATAAGATTTTCAACAT